CCCCCCCCCCCCCCACACACACACACACACACACAGCTGTGGTTGTGGTTGGAGAAGTATTAAGCCTCCTGCACACACTGCCGGTGGTTGTGGCTGGAGAAGTATTATGCTACCTACACATACACACCAACACACACACACTGCTACTGGTTATAGCTGGAGAAGTATTACCCCCTACACACACTTGCCTTTCAAGTGTATATTTTTTCCCAGACGGGCAAAGCTCCTGCAGCAGGTCTGGGGGAGAGAGAAGCTGGAGTGGGGGAGGGGTGTTAATTATAAAGGCTTGGCAAAGGGATATTTGCAAAGACAAAGAATTCCCCAAGAAGTAAGGCAAGATTCTGGAGTCCCACATGCCTGGAAAGGAAGAAAAAAAAAAAATCAACAACCCCAGAACTGGGATCCCCTGTTTTAAAAAAACTCCCCCTCTCTTTATCAGCTTGAAAATAGACCCAGGGCCTGGCTGGGATTCCAGAAGGTCACATGACAAAGAGAGAGAGCAACCTGATCCCCCGTGATTCATTCTGCTGGAGTTTATAGTGTGGCCTTTTGTCTGAGATTGGATCCAAACAAGTTGCACAGAGCCAAGGCCAGGGGAGGTCGTGAGATCTCTCTCTGAGCTAGTAGCTCCCATTGAGAAAACTGACGCTTCAGATGGCCTTCTACGTCAGAGTCTGGATCTCGTTCCCACTGAAGTGAGAGGTTTTCAAGGCCTGGCCCTGAGACTGGGAGTGGCAAAGTGTCTTATACAGAATACTGCAGCATGCGTTTCACATGAGCTCCTGTTGTGGGGTGGCATGATCCACTGGACAAGAAGTTGAGGAGAGCTGTCTTCCGTTTCCAGTTCTGCCATTAAGCTGCTGTGTGACCTCAGACAATCACTTCACTTCTCACCCTCTCATAGTTTAGACTAGGGGTAGGCAACCATTTCCTGATGTGGGACAGAATGATCTATCCTTGGGAAGAGGCAGGTGGGGATTAGGACCTGGGCACCAACCACCACTTGTTCCCACAGCAGCTGGTGCTTCTCTATGTCAGCATGGGGAGAGTGCCTGCAGCTGTTCCCACACCACTGAATATTGCAGAAGGCCAGATCCAACAGTTCTGCGGGCCACGTGGCAGGCAGAGATTGCTGACCCATGGCTTAGAGGCAGGCACCATCTTCTGTTATGTGAATGTTCCAGGCCTGGGACAATGAGTCTCTGATCTTGGTTGGAGACTCTAGGTGCTGCTGTAGTATCACTGGCTAAGTACTTATCTTAATTGCCCACTATACCTGTAAATATTTAAGGCTACAGTCCTGATTCAGTAGGGGTGCATACAATGCCATATCTACACTGTCAGTGGAGTCTTTTGTATGGGACGAACTTTCAGTATCGGGCCGCCCTTTGTCAGAGATAATGATTTTTTTGTTGTAAAAATCTTTATCACATCTGTGATATCAATGTCTTGAAATAGTTCATTCTCAATTGATAACATTGCCAATTCTGGATATGCACATTAAAACTTTTTTTTAGCAAGTATAATTTTCTGTTCATTTTCGGGCCCCCCTTTCTGTCTGGGCCCCAGGCAGCCGACCAGTTCGCCCATGCTTGTGTCCAGGTCTGGGTACACATGGACACAAAAAGCTCTCTCATTCATGTGGTGCCAGGATCAGCTTTGTAGTTTACAAAGGCACTGGAGTAGGGACTGTGATACCATACTACATCAAGAATAATAATAATTTAAAAAATTAAATACAATTCAGTGGCACAACAGGAGTTCATTGTAAGGCTGCTTGCTTTTCCTTTACTGATGTTTCAGTTTGGACTTGAGGAGAATGCCCATTGCTTTTGCAGCCTTTCCAGAGAAAACTTCAGCAACTTCATCTTTAAATATATTTAAGCAATAATGTCAGGTGAAACAGAATGTTGTCACAGGACCATGGTCTCCTGCTGCTGCTTATGAATAAATAAATGTCAGGGCAAATCCAAGACATTTATTATCAAAGCAGGAGGCACTGATCCTGTGCCAGTGCTGAATTCCAATGACTTGTTTCTGTTATATAAAAGGAATGGCCAATGTTGATTTAATTATATTAGGCCAGATTCTAATATCTGTATTCAGGTTGAATAGTACCTACCCCCAACTAGTTTCATGATGTGAGGAATGTTCTTATCCTGCCTTGCTCTTTTGCATGGCCAATTCTAGCTAAAAGGAAATGAAAATTAGCTTTTTAAAAACTAAACTATACTAACAAAAAAAATGCATTTGCCAATTATTGAATTGCACCTAAAACATTGAAATCTATCTTCTTTTGTCATTTATTCCAGAGGTTTTTCCCATCCTAATTTCCCAGAAATAATGACTTCTGAAGTGACAGAAGTAGATTGCAGGTTTTGTTTAATTACAGTATGATTGTGGGTCAATTCTGTTGATTTCCACAGGACCGTAAAAAAAAGCTTTTTTGCTTTTTTTTTTTGTAGGAGGAGGAAGATTAGTGATTTTTTGCTTTTGCATTATAGCATACTGGAATTTCTTAGAGTGAAGAATTCTAAAGTTTGTCATGCCAGAATACGACCTTGCTGCCACTGAAGGCAATGAAAAGGTTAACCTCAGGGGGAGCAATATTGAGTCTGAAGGCATGTCCATATTGTCTTCTGACTATTTGAAGTGTTAGCAAATAATGGGCCGCAACCTAATCTTATCTTCTGTATCACTGATACAGATTCTTTCAGTATAATTTATTTTAGGATGAGTATAGTAAACACTTTTTTCTTTTTTCTTGGCAGAGTTTAAGACCTTCAAGATGATGATTTTGGTGCCTTAGCAACATTAATAATGGCATTTCCTAGCTTTTGAGCACTTGACATTGCACATTTTGGTGACTTTATTCTGGTCCCACAACCAACGAAAGAATGACAGATTGAAATTAATAATCTGGTATCATCGATAAATGTTTGCCATAAGAGTTTGAAGCTGCGTGTCATTTTGGTTTGCTCTCACTTTGATTTTTGTTTATAGTGTTCACAATTTTCAACTCTGTAGGAGTACTTTGTTGAAGCTACTAAAAGAGAATAAAGAATATGCTTTACTTTAGTATTATTGTTCTCAGAAAAGAAGATGAAAAGCATGTTAATATTGCAGAGACAAGCACTCAACAGTTACAGGCTACCAGTGCAACTTAATTCAGCACCTTTGTACATACACATTACAATACAGATTCTAATTAAATCTTGTCATAAATATTATTCTACAAGATGCCTGCCTCTTGTTTTTTTCTTCCCAAAAGTTACTAATAACTTGTGTGGTGTGGCTGAGGTCCCAACTTTTGGCCATCTAACTTCAGAAATGTTAAAGCACTCAGATTTCCAGAGGTCAGGTGCTTGGCAAACACTGAAAATCAGGTTTTGTGATGGTGTGCTAATTAAGTATCCAAAATGACTGGTTTTGAAAATCTTGCCTACACACACGGGTGTGTGCATGCACACACACACGTGTGTGCCATTGAAGTCTTATCATTTTAATATTATATATAAATAATATAATGCATGTGCATGCACACACAGGCACAACCTAAAATCTGATATGATATATTGGCTTAGGAGCAGAATACCAGTAATTCTTTTGATTTCCATTAAATTTAATTACTTAATGTGTGCACCATTGTGTCAGATATGAGAATCTACTCCAGTAGTTCTCAACCTTTTCTGACTCAAGACACCCATTGTTAGACTTAAAGCATCCTTGGAAAACACCCACTCTTACCTTTCACTCATGTTTTGACTACAGAAAAATAATAGAGCAGTTCTTCTGTTGCAAAGAACTCAGAAAGATTACAGCCAGGTCAGGAAGTTTTTGATACTATGGATTCCTATTTGAAATCTCAGGATTTATTTTTTGCATCATGTGTAGGTGTTTGCACTAATACTGTGTGGCACCCTGCAGCACCCTTGAAAGCAGTAATACTTACCTCCAACCCAATCCAGGGCTGTCATCTAGTTTACAGGGTGGGGAATTTGGTAGAGGGAAAGCAGTGGCAGCATTAATTGCTGCAACTTCTAGAGCTGTAGCAATTAATGCTGCCATTGCTTCCCCACCACCAAATTTCCTG